CCAGCCAGCTGGGGATTGAGGAGCCCTAGTTCCAGCCAGCAGATAGGCTGCCACATTTTGTCCTCAAAAATACTGTCCACATTTTAATTGATCGCTTAGTATAGTGTGCTTAAGGTCATGTGTCTGGGAGCATCTACTAAAAAAAGTAGAAAAGAAACACATGACATGAAAAATCAAAAAAGAACTTGGCAGGCAGGAGTAGGCAAACCCCAGAGCTGGGCCCTGCCCCACACTACATCCTCGCCATGGCTGGAACAGGACAGGGAGGGAGGACAGGAACCTGGGCCCGTGTAGCCTCATAGAGAGTGAACCACCTGCAGCATCTGGGTCTCCCTGCTTCCATGAGAANCAGACATTTAACATTAATGTGCTAGCTTCACTCAGGATTTTCTTTTACATGTATTACATTACTGTTAAGTTATTAATGATATATTTGGAGGGTTAGTCAACCAGGCCCCTCCTCCATTTCTGTGGAGAATGGCATTGCCTTTGTACTTCCTAAAGACCCTAGGACTTGGCATAAATGTATTTGAAAGGAGATCAGTTTTCCCCCCAAGAACTGAATTATTTATCTATCCATTTTACATACTCATGCTGCCTTGTTTTCTGCCTACTTGCTTTTGTGTCTTTCATACGAGATTATAAACTCCTTTAGAACAGAAATGTTGACTAGTTCATTTTGGCCTTCCTGTACATGACCATCATTCCGTAACTGCTTATTGACTTGAATCTTTGGATTTCTGATCTTTGCTATTCCTGCTTTGCAAAGATAATTATTTTGGCAGTAGTTATGTCAAATTCAAAATTACAAAACTGGAAATTTCCTTAAATTTAAAATGAGTAGCAAAGCTACTGATTTGGAATTGCTAATATATGTACATACGTGTATGTGCACATAGGTGTGAGTAGTTTACGTATGTGTGTATACCTTATAAAACAGGGAGAGAAAGTGAGCAGTTCAGCACTTGAAGGATATTTCACTACATATGCCCAGTGAGTTTCCTTTTATTGCTCTGAATAAGAAGGGAGGCAGTGTAGGGATCAGGAAGGAGAATATGTTCTTTGCTTGGATTGTTTTTTTTCATTTAATTCTCAGTTATGGAAAAAAGAGTCATTCAGGCATTCATTATTATACTCAGAAAGGCAATATATTATGCTGAATTCTTTTCAATAAGCTGTGGTTAGCGGAAAGGAGTTTTGATTGGTCGTGAACACTCCCAGAAAGCAGGTTGCACAAAGTTAAATAGAATAATCCACACTATTTTAAAATGATATGCCTATATTATCATATAGCACAGGCTAGTGTTTTTTTCTGCTTGTGATTAATGTTTTGATAGCCTCCCATTATTTTGTGTTGGTCAATGTAAGGAGCTTAGTTGCCAGCTCACCACACTCTTGTTTATTTATAAAGGGTAGAACTGCTCATCTTAATATGTTCTATGCTAAAAGGAGACATTTTCCTTTGACATTCTCCAAATGAAAACAGAATTTCCTTCTTGGTGGGGTGGTGAGCAGGAGGGCTTGGAAGGGCAGGTGGCTAACCTCTGGCTACGTACTCTCCCGACTCAGAAATGAGATATGATTATGGACGGGGCTCTTATGAGACAAGCTAACATGTTATTTGTAACATGAACCCAACAAAGGCTTCCCCAAAAGTGTGGGAGATGTGGAGCTGGTTTGTACCAGTAAGGAAATTGAGGGTTCCTGACAATTCCAAGAATACAAAGTCTATACTTAGAAGACTTCTTGTAAGAAAGAGAACCTAAGAAAGCAGTCCGGTTCATACCTAAGAAACCATGAAATCTGTTACAAAGCCTTATAATATGGAGTAAGTACCCCTGGGCCTCCACTCCTAGTGGAATGCTTCCAGCGGTCATAGCTCACTGGTGCCCCCTTGCGGTGCTCAAGCCACCTCACATTTCCTTGCCTTGGGTAAG